AGGTGACCAAGTGGGAAAAACACCTTAGGGAAATGAGCTATGTCATCGTGATGGCATAGTGTGTCCAAGGAAAGTAGTCTCTAAAGAGACCCATGAGAGGGTCACAAAGTTGGGCCGAGGATAGAGCCCACAGCAGAAGATGCTAAAAGAGACTTACTAGGGGTGAACACCCTAGTCTTGGCAAAGCAGAGCCTTTGCTATGGAATCAAAAGAATACCTCAAGGAGGGAGGTAGAGATTCGATGTTGCTTGGTGCAACAATCAACGGATAGGAGCAAAAGATGAGTGGCCAAGATAGGGCCGTGGAATCCTTGGGAAGGAATCCAAGTGACAAAGTTAGGCGAGGAACACTAATGTGTTGGACGCTAACAAATTGCGGGAAAGGAAGTGTGTTTCCAAGGATAGATTCTAAATTGCTCCGATTTGGCGAAAGTGGAAGCTCCAAGGGAGGGAGTGGTAAGGTAGCCAAATGATAGGGCCATGAACAGCCCTAGCACAAAGTATGATAACTGGAACTTTGGCACGAAATAGAAGAGAGGATGATGGTGCCCTCGAATAGAGAACTTCCTAGGATGGGAAGTGGAGTTGCACAAAAGGTGCAAGGCAAGGTGTCGGAGACACCTAGGAAATTAACTCCAAGGAGTCAAAATTCAAAGTTCCAAAGTGTAGAGGTTATATCGATGGAAATTGAGACTACTCGAGAAGGAGTAGTGGGATTGACTTAGAGAAGGGTCTCTAAGAGGTTTAGCAAGAACTAAACCAATAAAAGGAGAGAACCATTACATATGGTCCAATCAGTCTCTAAGTTGGAGAGACTACGCTCCTTAAAGGATGGACAAGGCATGGTGAGCCTTTGGTGTCAAACCATAGACAAAGATTGGCTACGCGCCAAGGATGGAAATGGTAACACATGCGGGTGTTACTTTATAAAATGGTTCATCGTTCGATGAGGACATCGAACTTCGTCTATGGGTGGTGGAGTTGTGAGACACAAAATCCCTAGGCCCCAAAGTGGAGCCGGAAAGGGTGCCACGTGGTAGTGGCTGAAGCGAGAGCCAAACGAGCGTAACACGTTTGGACCAAAAGCTCCGACTTGAAAAGTCAAGAGCGGGAGTGGAACTCCCAAAGAAGTGCTCGAGGAACGAGCACGAAGCGAGCAAAAAGCGAGGCTCCAAAAAGGGACCCAAAAGGACCAACACATGACACGTGGGAGAGTCCGAGATGGACCCGAGTTGGAGTCCGAAGTGGAGTCCGAGATGGACCCGAGTTGAAGTCCGAAGTGGAGTCCGAGATGGAGTCCGAAGTGGAGTCCGAGGTGGACCCGAGATGGACCCGAGATGGAGTCCAAAGTGGAGTCCGAGGTGGACCCGAGATGGACCCGAGTTGGAGTCCGAAGTGGAGTCCGAGATGGACCCGAAATGGAGTCCGAGATGGAGTCCGAGATGGAGTCCGAAGTGGAGTCCGAGGTGGACCCGAGATGGATCCGAGATGGAGTCCGAAGTGGAGTCCGAGGTGGACCCGAGATGGACCCGAGTTAGAGTCCGAGGTGGAGTCCGAGATGGACCCGAGATGGAGTCCGAGATGGAGTCCGAGGTGGACCCGAGATGGACCCGAAATGGAGTCCGAGATGGAGTCCGAGATGGACCCGAGATGGAGTCCGAGATGGAGTCCGAGATGGAGTCCGAGATGGAGTCCGAAGTCGAGACCGAGACCGGGACCGAGACCGAGACCGAGACCGAGACCGAGATCGGGACCGAGACCGAGACCGAGATCGGGACCGAGACCGAGACCGAGGCCGAGGCCGAGACCGAGCCCGAGTCCGAGCCCGAGTCCGAATCCGAGTCCGAGTCCGAGTCCGAGTCCGAGTCCGGAGCCTGAGAGGGTGAAAGCCCAAAGCGTTCGTCTCCCAGACCCTGGGGGGTTTGGTGAGCTCCAAAAGTATAGTAAGGGGGAGGACTGCAGTGGAGCCAGTTTGGCCAGGAAAGGCCAGTTTGGCCCAGGAAGGCCAGACCCAGTGTTGGGTGATGAACTGACCACTGGGAAGTCCAAGACTAGAGTGAATACGGACCGACAAGCGGGGTAGCTTGGTGAAGTGTTCAAGAGCCGGCTCTAGTTCCCCCGGGAGATCGACTGGCCGATGCTCCCAGTCCAAGTGTGGGTTGCACTACCTACTTGGATACCAGGCGTGGCTCAACGGAACCTCGCTCTAAGCCCATGGCTAGAGCACCTAAAGGCGATAGGTGGGGAGAGTACCCAGGTGGCTCGCGTAAGGCCACGGTGTTCCGAAATGTCGTCCCAAAGGCCCAGACTGTGGAAAAGAAGAGGAGCAGTCCTCTGGGGTAGTGACCAAGGACACAGTCATGTGGTGAGGAAGTCCCAGAGGACCGTGGGACTTAGTGGTCGGGCCTGTGGGCCTCGATCCAGTGGCAGTGTTGGCAAACACGGCCAGGGGCAGAAAGGGACTTGGTAGGAACTGACAAAAGGACTTTGGGGAAGGCGATTCCCTAGGTCTGTGGGCATCCTAAGGATGCTAAGGAGTGGATCTAGGATGACCCCTCGTAGACAGATGGCCCAGTCTTGGAGAGACGGGATGGTGATGCAAGTGGTATTGGACCATTTGCGCAGCAAAGGTGAATGGGCATGGCCTTAGCGTAACGGGCCGAGATGTCAGTGGTACCTTTGGGTGTCGGTCATGGGATCGGACACGTGGAGCACTTGGACCAAGTGCAAAGGTTGAGTGGCATGGATGCCATTCTCGGGGCTAGCAAGCCCCAAGTCCTGAATGGGACTTATGGAGGTTGTGAATGAGACCCCTCCAAGTGGTCGGAGGTGTGGTTAAGTGACTAAAGTAGAATGGAAAAATTAGTCGCTTACACATTCATGGGGAACACGACCACAACATCAACGACTACTCTTTTTCTTCGTGCCATGGAAGACCAGAGGGCATTGCTCATTGAAGCAATATGCCCTCACTTCACAAATAGAAACACCTAGCAAATAACACTTCCCTCCCCTCTTCCCTTTCTACTCAAAAAGTCCCATGCTCTCACGGGCTAATGGTGACTATTATCTATCTATCAACCCTGTAGTCTCATTCTATGCTCCAAGACCTCCAAAAAGCATATATATGCTTTATTTCGTTAAAGTGGGATTTATTCAGTAAAGTGGGACATTAATTAGCATGTGTCCACATGCCATTTCTTAGTACTTAATTAATATTTATTAATATTTCTTTTAGTTTTTTAATTTATTTTTTTATATTTCACAATATTATAACACAAAATCATATGAAAAGTTTTTAATTTATAAATTATAAAGTTAAAACTTCAATTTTTTATTGTTGTTATAAAAATGGCATGTGGCCACACACCATAAGTGGGATAATGAAAAGTCCCACTTTAACGAAATAAAGCATATATTAAGGGACTTATCGAGAGATCAAGTTCCCATCTGGTACACAGCCTATTGCAAATGGAGAGCGCTTTCGAGCTCCTTGGTCAAACAATAAACATACTTTTACTCACAAAGATGGATCAGGATTACCTAGAGCCTTTTTACCCTTTTTCTCCTATGTAGCATAAAAAGCCAGGGTTTTTCTCATGGCTATGGCAAATCGATGGGCGATGGATGAGGCGACGAGGAAGGAGAAGGAGAGGAGGACGGAGGAGCGGAGGAAGCTGGAGAGGTCACATAATTGGGAGGATGGCACCGATCCATGGGAGGACGAGCTCTTCTACAACGAGCGGATCAGGAATCTGTCCAAGAGAGTGACGAAAGAGCATATCGATGTGCTCAGGGTCAATGCCAACCCAGATCACATACGCATTCTTCAAGAGTGTTACAAGCAGCTGGAGGCTGAATTTGGCCCTAAAGCGAAGCGGAAGCCTCTTGGTGAGACCTGTAAGAATTCTGAGAATAATCCTTAGAAGAGAGCTGCGAAGCGCTTTTCTTTTCTATATTTCTCTCGTGTAGTATCTTGAACTTTGCTTTGGCCAGCCAATTGTTGTTGTTTACATTGACTTGCTCTTTTGGAAATTAAGACTGACGTAGTATACAATCTCCAGCATCAGACAACCTTAATCTAGCCATTAATTTAGCAATGAGAGTCATGAAAACACTTGCAATTTTACTGCTTGCACTTGCTTTCTCCTTCAACTGCTGTGAAGCTGATGCAACCTGTGACAGCATCAATGGGATTGTGAGATATTGCAATTTTCCAGGAAGGGGATCACACAAATCACTATGAAGCATGTTGTAGTTTCATTGGAAAGATCCCGAGTGTGTGTGTGTGCCCAAGATTCACTTCAGATGGAGTTCAATTATAAGCCATATCGACAATGTGACACTGTATTAAATGTTTCCTCGTTTTGATCTCCCAGCTATTCTTCAAAACATAAATTTGATAGATGACTAACAGTAATTACCTTTTCCAAGGCGCAATTTCAGTTGAATTCTGGGTTCATAGAAACAGGATGGTCCTCTAGCCTCTTGAAACAGCCAAGATTAAGCCAAGGTTATTGCCAAGAGGCCAGTCCACTGAAACCAAAAAGAAGAGCAAGGTGAAGCCTACACAACTTTTAGAGCTTGAAGACTGCATGCTTGGAGCTTGAAGAGTATGAAGCATGGAGTGCAGAGCAAAACTCACAAACCCTTGCATTTTGCAGCCATCAGTCTCATGGTCTCAGCATCCATCAGCACCAGAAAACAGCATATAGATAGACCCTGAATAATGAAGGATTTCATGATTATGAAACATAAATTTGAGATTGAAGAACATGGAGCGTGGTAATCCATGGCATACTCCATCCAGCTCCCAGTTAATCCACTTTGAATAGAGTAATTAGATTGATAATTAAAAGGACCCTTTTCCTTTAAAATAGGTTAGGGCTCATTGAGGCGGTGGGCTTTTTTTGTCCGCCACGTGTAGCTTTTTCACGCACTAGCCCAGATCGTGCCACGTGTACGGCCTGGAGCGCTTTCGTACGAGGAGGTTCAAACGGGTCTTGGGCTGTGGAAAGAGAAGAGAGAGAAGAGAGAGAGAGAGAGCGTGTTCTTGCGCGTTCTTGCAAGATCGATCGAAAGCACAGGGATTTCCTCGGCGCCAGGAGATTCCAGCGCCGGCCGCCTTCGCAGCGGCCACAGATCTTCTCCAGGCCGTGGAGTCTGTGGCGAGTCGCTGATAGGGACCCGGCGCATTTCGCATTGCGGAGAGCTCACGCCCCAGGGGAGAAGGAATAATCGCATCGGGGCAGCTGTTCGTCGCTAGGGTTTGAGGGTAGTAGAGTAGAGATGGGCGCTAGCGAGAGCAGGGAAGGGCGGCTGGACGATTCCGAGGCCGAGGAGGAGGAGGAGGAGAATTCCTCCTCGTCACAGGGGAGCTATCACAGCGCTCGCTCCGACAAGGAGAAAACCGGGCCAAGGACTCCATTGCGGCCTCCACAGCCGGGCTCGCAAAAGGTAAAGCTCTACCACTACATCTCGGCCAAGACCAAGTGGGTCGTCGCGGAGAAGCTGGTGCCATGGGAGTTTATGCGCGAGAGCGAGTTCCAAGAAGGCAGCGAGGTCGACGATGACGAGTACATGGACGAGGCCGAAGGGAGTGGCCACTTTGATCACTGGCTGCTGTGCGTGGGGACGAGGATCCGAGCTAAAGTCGACCAGAGGCTCCAGATGAAGTTCTACTCGGACCAGCAGCGAGTCGACTTCGTCTTCCAAGGTGTGTGGGCGATGCGCTTCCCATCCCAGGAGGACTACAAGGACTTCACCACCGAGTACCACAACTGCGTCTTCGAGAACAGCTACCAGCTCGAGGCGACCGAGGAGAACAAGGTGAAGGTGTTTGGGAAGGACTTCATCGGCTGGGTGAAGCCTCAGGACGCTGACGAGTCCATCTGGGAGGACGCGGAGGAGACTCTAGAGCAGGGACAGGTCAAAGATCTCAAGCAGACTTACATCGACGAGCTCAACGAAGGGATTCGCAGCCTCGCGCTGGGTGCCAAAGACAACAGCTTCCTGGTGAGCGACAGCCGGGTCGAGGCGTTTCGAAACACACCCACGGGGCTGCAAGGCAAGAAGGCGTCCGTCCGCCTGGGCGGATCGAGCTCCGACTCGTTCAGCACACCCAAGAAGGCGATGCTCATCCGGGGGGAGGCAAACATGATGCTGCTCAGCCCGGCGAAAGATGGCAAGAACCACTCCACGAACGTCCGGCAGCTGGATCTCGAGTCGGGCAAGACGGTGGCCGAGTGGAAGTTTGAGAAGGATGGCACTCCCATCACCATGCGGGATGTGACCAACGACAGCAAGTCGGCTCAGCTCGACTCGTCGCTCTCGACCTTCCTCGGCCTCGACGACAACAGGCTCTGTCGGTGGGACATGAGAGACCGACACGGAATCGTCCAGGACATCGCGAGCCCGGTGCTGAACTGGAACGAGGGTCATCAGTTTGCGAGGGGCACGAACTTCCAGTGCTTTGCTTCCACCGGAGATGGAGCGGTGGTGGTGGGATCCAAGGATGGAAAGATCCGGCTCTACGGGAAGACGTCGATGCGGCAGGCTAAAACAGCGTTCCCGGGGCTGGGCTCGCCGATCACTCATGTGGATGTGACTTACGATGGACACTGGGTGCTGGGAACCACGGACACGTATCTCATCCTCATGAGCACGCTGTTCATCGACAAGGATGGATCCATGAAGACGGGCTTCACGGGGCGGATGGGCAGCAAGGGGCACAAGCTGGCGACGCCGCGGCTGCTCAAGCTCACGCCGGTGGACGCGTTTGCCGCTGGGAAGAACCAGAAGTTCCACGGTGGTCACTTCTCCTGGGTAAGTTGTTCGTTCGTCTTTCCTTCCTCTTGAGTTGCTTGGATTCACTCATCGCTTTGGTTTGCTGCTGTCTCAGGTGACGGAGGGTGGAAGGGAGGAGAGGCATCTGGTGGTGAGCGTGGGGAACTACACCGTGATCTGGGATTTCAAGCGCGTGAAGCAGAGCCAGCACAATTGCTACAAGAACGCGGGGGAGGGGCTCAAGAGCTGCTACTGCTACAAGATTGTGCCAAAGGAGGACAACATCGTGGACAGTATGTTCATGCACGACAACTTCGTCACTGGGAAATCGCCGGAAGCGCCGCTCATCGTCGCCACGCCAAAGCACGTCACCTCCTTCAACATCTAGAACAGGAAAAACGCAACAAATCCATTCGCGGTAAGACTGGAGACTTTTGACATGGGATGGGAGTAGTACGCACTCGCGCGCTAATTTCTTGCTCTTTTCTTTGCTGTTTGTAACCAACTAAAGCAAAATTTAATTGTTCTTTTTAAAAGTAAACACAGTTATTTAAAATGAAAACTACAGGTTTTAAATTAAATAACGTTATTAGTAATCTAAGAAGCATATTATTAAATGCGGTGAGCGTGGATCGAACACGCGACCTTCAGATCTTCAGTCTGACGCTCTCCCAACTGAGCTATCCCCGCTTAGTTTGATTAACAAAAAACTAGTTTCATATTTAAAGATTTTATTATCATATTCTAGATCTTTTAAAATCATAGCAAATTGCTTTCAATGTTTACTGTATTGTACCCATGCGAATCGCATTACATTTCTTTCTATTCCATGCGTTACGGGGTTACACGTGTCAGGTTGTTTGAGTTTCTCAAAGAAAACCTAGGGCGGAGGAGGAAGAGCTTGGTCGCTTTTGCCAGTGAGAGGGCGCCACCACATTTTCTCCTCCATCTCACTCTCTCTCGTGTAGCGATGGATCAGCTCCGCGAGATGGCGCACAACATGAGCTCCCTGGCCGCCCAGGGGATGGATTACATCGAATCCAACACGGGCCTCCCGCCGATCGTGCTCTTCACCATCATCGCGCTGCTTCTTGGTGCGTATTACCTCATCTCTGGGATTCTTGCTCCATCGCAAATCGGCGCCGCTCCCCTCTCGGCCATCATCGAGGAGGAGGAGGAGGAGGCGGCCGCGGCGGCAGCAGCAGCGGTGGATCCTCCCTCGATCGTGGAGCTCGGGGATCAGGTCACTCTCTTGGAGCTCGCTGCGTACGATGGGAAGGATTCGAGCAAGCCGCTGCTCATGGCGATCAAGGGAACGATTTACAACGTTTCTTCTGCCAGGTACTGTCACAGCTCTCTTTTCTTCTTCGTGCTTAGATTGATGGATCGTAGATACGTTCTTTTCCTTTCTTGATCGATCAGAGCTGCATTTTTCTTCTTTCCTTTTCGTGCTTGGTGATACTATCGCTTATCTTTGCAGGGATTTCTACGGGCCTGGTGGGCCTTATGCCGTTTTCGCTGGAAGAGATGCCAGCCGCGCTTTGGCGAAGATGAGTTTTGACGAGGGTGATCTCTGCGGTGATCTGGATGGATTGAGCAGCCAGCAGCTCGAAGTTCTCAAGGATTGGGAGAGCAAATTCGCCAGTAAGTATCCCAGAGTCGGAGCTGTCAAGCCCAAAAAGGAGGACAAGGTGGTGGACGATTCAAGCATCGGTATGGAGATGGAGGGGGACGAGAAGAAGTACAAGGACAGTGATGAGACAAAGAAAAGCCTCGGGGAGAAGGACGATCAGAAAGTTTCCGAGGAACACAAGGAT